CTGGTCAGAGCGCGCCTGGGCCATGCAGCGGAAAATGTCCGCGTTGCGCCGACGGGACCATAGGTCATGGAGGGCCTCTTCCTTGGCCCTGAGGTCCAGGAGGGCATCGAGCTCCCCTGGAGACCAGGAAGGGGCACAGCGCTTTGTGCGCCTTGGTGCCTCCTGCGCTGGGGGTGCGCGTTGTCCCCCCCCCCCCCTGGAACGGCCATCCTCGGTGGGCTGGTGGCCGTTGCACGGAGCAGAGCCGCGTGGCAGAGCTCTGGGCAGAGGTGGCAAAGCTGCTTCTGCCTCATGGCCTCTGCAGGCTGCGTCTGCCTTTAAGGGGGCTCAGGTTACCAGGAAGTCTGGAGCTGCCTGCAGGTATGGAGCATCCAAGCGGCCACAAGGGCTTTTTTCCGTTTAGACTGCTTTTGCGCAAAATGTCTTAGCTGCCTGTCTATTCTGGCCTCTTGCGCAGACGGCTTCTTCCTGAGCGGGAGCGTCAGAGTATTTGCACAAGCAGCACTGATTTCTTACATTAGAACGTCAGTGCTCTTGTGCAAGAACTCGCAGCCAGTGTAGACAGGCAGGAAGTTTTTGCAAAAAGCAACTGCTTTTGCGCAAAATCTTGCCAATGTAGACACAGCCTAGGAGTCTAATATTTCCTGTTAGAACCCAGGGAGGCTGGGAACTGGTTTCCTTCTGCTCCAGACTGAGCTGCTGAGCCGCGCCTTGCTGTGGAATCAGTCCCCCACCCCTCCTCTGTGACTGGAGCATCCCACATTGCTAGACTCTCTGCCAGGACAGCACTGGATTTCATTGCTCAGGGCTGTTACAAGCATCAAGTTCCCTACCAGCAGGATGTCTCCTCTGGATGGATACAATTAGCCACGGCTTGGGTCACACAGCGGGCTAGCAGCTGCTGGAACATGATCCAGTTATCTGCATTGTGTATGTGCAGTTGAATAGTGAGGGGGAAGAGTCTGATGTGCCATTGCCCTAGTTACTAAATCACAAGAGAAGCCTCTTACAGCCACCAGGACACATGTTTGCATGACAGTGGAAAATGTGGCCCAGAGAACCCAGTGCCAGCCAGTGAGAACTAGTTTAACTGCTCATTTTCCTATCTCATGGATCATAGAACTGGAAGGGACCTAGAGACATCATCAAGTCCAGTCCCCTGCTCTCATGGCAGAACCAAGCATGGTCTATATCATCCAACAGGTGTCTGTCTAACCTGCTCTTAAATATCTCCAGTGATGGAGATTCCACAATCTCCCTAAGCAATTTATTCCAGTGTTTAACTACCCTAACAGGCAAGAAGTTTTTCCTAATATGCAACCTAAACCTGTCTTGCTGCAATTTAAGCCATTCGCTTCTTGTCCTATTCTCATAAGGCCAAGGAGAAATTCTCCCTTCTCCTTATAACACCCTTTTAACTCACTGGTCAATAATATCATGATGAGATGTGTATAGCAAGATGTATCTAAGTTATGAATGATATTGGTGGCACATGTTCAAACCCAGGTAGTCCTGATTAGCAGAACACGTCAATCACATTTTAAGCAAAGATGTATGCATTTAACTCACTTAACATAGAAGTAGTATAAACGATCCTTAGAAAAGCAAGAGGGAGATAAGTCAAATCT